CTGACTGGCACCCTACAATGCTGGGCTGTAACTTTAAGCTGGAGAAAACCCTCTGGGCTTTTTGAAGAAATTCTCTGGTTTCCCCTTAGGATGTTGGGGTTTTGGGGTTTTTTTATGAAGGTGGATCCACTTCATTAACAACCAAATGTTTCCTTTGACTGGCATACTGCCCCACGCCTCCTAAATGGCTGATTTGACTACAAACTGCTCAGACTCCGTGATGTATTTTTCATCTCATTTATTGCAGGCATGAATACAGGAACAGGTAAACAGCTGAGCCGTAAAAGTTTCTCTCTCGGCATGTTTTCAACAGAATGCCATCACACACTGTCTGATGATACACGCTGCTACTCAGACAAAACAAGATGGTGTGAGCAATCTTACTGTAAAGCTGCTACCCACCAGTCAAAGCTGCAGCTGCCAAAGAAGCCTTCTCCTCCGCTTACTCTCTCCCCTCCCTCCTTCTCCACATCATCTGCAGGCTCTTTTACGGCACTTAACTTTACAAAACACAGTTGTGAGGCCGATCTTACATGCAATTACAGATCAGCCTCAGTATATTTATTGCAAACTCCTTGAACATCAGGACACTAAGAAAAAAAAAAAAAAGGAAAAAAAAAAAGAAACAATATCCCGTTGCATAATTGCGAGTAGGATTTTGTAGCCAATGAACCAGAAATGTATTCAGAAAAAAAAAAATAAGAGAAAGAAAGACCAAGGATATTTGTAACCAGCTCAAACAAAACGTGATGCTGCCTCCAATGAAACATTTGACTGCATTGCCAGCTCTGTTTCAAATGGGCACGTAGGCATCCTGTTGCAGAGAGTTGTGAAGCCACAGACTGAAACTTCAGAGGAGTTAATTTTCAAACATTGCACTTCCAGGGTCTAAGTAAGTTTGAAACGTGAAAAATCTGCACACACTGTGGGATCTGATAGAGATGTGGGATCTCAAACAACATTTCTAAAGAAAACCCAGTTATTCCTTTCAAAACCAAATAGTGAAAACAGCTGAACCACACGAAAACAAAGCACAACTGGTTGGCTTTCGTAAGAGACTGCAATATGAGAAAATATTTAACTCCTTGCATAGCTATTTAAATGGCCAATAAATTTTGCTGGAATCACCCAAACATGACAACATCGCATTCTGCCGCTTAAGAGACTTCACGCTGGAAAGCTGGGATCTGCTGACCGGGTCAGAGCATCGCTCGGGGCACTGTTAAACACCAGGGCCACCCCTGGTAACCTTTGCCTGGAGGTTTCATCAACCAGCTACTTCCAGACTGGGCACAACTACAACGATGCCGCTGCGCTTATGCTACTGTAAGTTCCCCCAGGTCTCTGTTCTCCCCCGTAAGGGATAAAAGCTGTCCTGGCAACAGGGCATTTCTGGTAGTACATTTACACCTAACGCGCGAGGCTTTTGCTGGCAGAGCTACGCCGATCACAAATCATACCTCAAAGCACCCCTGGATGATGTAGCCGTGTCAGCAAGGGTTTGCAATGTAGACCTAACCAGAGGGACGGGGAGCAGAATTCATCTCACTTAGCTTCAAGCAACGTAAAGGTAGACATCTAAGCCAGAGGCACCTCCAGGAGGCAGTTCCTTTGGTCTCTCACCAGGTGAGAGTTGGGCATATCAACGTTAGGTGAGACGAACCCTCTCCCAGGAGAGCTGACGAGACGAAGTCCTTTCAGCCACCCTGTCCCGTCATCAACTCTGGAGACCATGCTTCAGAAGGCTGCTCTTCAAATGCGTTATCTTTACACGTGTCCATGTACATGATAATGATAGCCTGTGCTGGGCTTCATGCTGCCACAACTACATATGCAAGCTCATTAAAGCTAGCTCAGATACTGCTGCGCTATTATATAGACATACCCTCGGGCAGAGTATCCTTTAACACCTGTAAAGTTAAAGTCTAGGGGCAAATCTAGACCATCGGCCCCTCGGCGTATGTTCAGGTTGCCACTGTCTTGTTTACAGTAGTTTTGGGTAACAGGTGTCCTAACACTGTAATTCCCAACCAGAGGTGAGGCAGGAGTGTTTATTCAGAGGATGCGAAAACTGAGATGCTTAGGCATGGCTGAAGAAGGTACGTAGTAAGAAAGAACAAGGTGATGACATTCCGCAGTTAAAAGTTTCGTTTGGTATCAGTAAAACAGGTTTAAGAAAGCTCTGTTAGACTGCAGAACAGGGAACAGCAGCAGCCAGTGGGTAAGACACTAAAACAAGACAAAGCAACATACTTGGGGTTGTTCTGCGGAAAACGTCCCACGGGAACTAAGCGGCCACACGAGCCTTTCCCTCTTCTCCCAGGGGGAACCAAGGAGGGAGGAGTCTCTGCTCTTTCTTAGCTATGCCAGAGCACGGCCTCAGCTGTAAAGACCTGGCCACTGCCAAGTAACCTTGGTTCACATTTCTTGTTTTCCAGTTCTGACTATTTCAGCTGAAGAATTTGTATGAAACGGGAGCAAAATGTTGCATTGAAAATAATAAACTAATAGCTTGCTTACGAGCCAGAACATGGGATGCGCTGATCTGAGTCAGGCATTCGGTTTTGCTAAAGGCTGTGGCTTATGTGACCAGACTGCCCTAACGCAGGTAATTGGATGTGTTTGCCCCCAGACCTGAAGGTGCATCGTGGCGTTCCCAAAGTCCACTCCATGGCCATCAGTATGACTGAAACGTGTGTCCAGATGTGTTTTTTTCTGGTTTTCCTCGGTAGTGACTTTGTGAAACTGCCGCCCGCTTGCCCGCAGCTGGGGGCTGCCTAACAGCAGGCAGAAGACCAGATTCAGCTAGAGTCAGTGCCTTGCTGTTTTCAACCTTACTTTGCTTTCCTCTCCCAAAACAGCACCTCTGATCGCAATTTTTGATTTGTTCTTCACAATGCTCACTTTTACGTGGGTGCAGACAAAATGTGCTGCCGCTTCTCCCTCCCCCAGTACCTTCTGGGAAGTGGTGAGAAAAGAGTAACAGGGCATGGAAGACACAGCCTTTTGTGGCTGTTGCATTTTCCCCTCCTTTCTGATTTTTTCACAGGGATTTAATGTTCCTAATCCATTTTTAATAACCTTGGATTGATGGAGCGGTACGCTAAAACATAAGGAACAGAAGCGTCCTGGCACTGTAACTAGAAGGTGGGCAGCATGCAAGTCGTATCTGATTACCCAGAAAAGTCACCCAAGCGCTCTGAAATCTGCAGTCCCCGTGTGTTTCTGTGGCTCCTTGTGCCCATTCCTCACGTTGAGCTACTTCATTATACTTTGTATTGTGAGTTTCTAACCAACACTTGTGCTATTTATTTTGCCCCATTTCATGGCAACCAGAAAGGCTTGGGTTTGGTGGATTTAAGTGGGGAGCCTAATACTGATTTCTTGTCCCAATATAAAATAGACATGTCAGTTTATACCTCCACATTACAATCCACAGTCCTACAGATGCTCTTGAGCCCTCTCATTTCAGAAAAAGAGCACAAGCTAACTCTGAAGGAAACCCAGTCTCACAGCAATCAGTTCCCAGCCTCCACACAAACCAGCTGCTTAAGCTGAGATAAAGCCATCGTAATCAGTATCAAATGAAGGGCAATCTTTTATCATAATACAAACAAGAGAACATAGTGTACAGAGTAACAGAAAAATATACATCTTCAGCCATACAAAACGCACAAAAGCTTTCCTGTTGGAAGAGTACCTTGTAGCTGACAGTCAGTTGTTGGTAGCTTTCTAGATGACCCTGCACTACTGAACAGGGGGAAACGGAGAACTTCTTTCTTCTTCTTTTTTTTTTTTTTCCTAGGAAATAGTTGCTAGCGTTACCTGTAGACCATAAACACCCTCCCCGGGGCTGCGGTTCTGCTAGCACCCCACCTGATGCCTGAGATAGCTGCACTGAATGTTGAGGCTGCTTGTGCGCCGGAGGCGAATGGGACGTATAGCCAGGCGTGCCCTCCGCAGGTTTGCCGGTACGCACGTGCCGATTAGTAGAGTGAAGAAATGAGTATAGACACAGCTATGCCATAAACTATCATTGTTACTATTCTTTGAAGTGATCAATCAATTCACATCAGTCGGGAAGGTGGTTTATCTACCCAGGAAGGAAAAAAATCCTCCCTGCATGAGCTACGTCCACACCGCTGAGGCTCTGCATCCCTCAATGCTGGGGCAGAAGCTGCCTGAGTGTGGGCGAGCCCTAATGCCTAGGCAACCTGGAGAAGGTGAAGCTTCTCGCTTAGTTAAAAAAAGTCAGTATCAAGCTAGAAAGTCAGTAGCAAATTACTTTAAACAACCGATTTTTTTTTTCATTAATGGAAATACGATAAGATTTAGTTGAAGGTTTAGGTCAAGATGACAAACTATAGGGAGTGTTGGGTGCGTAGACCTGTACGGCGGGGTGTCTCTCCCCCTTGCAGCTATTTATATCTCTGAGTAAAGGTTAAGGTTAGGAATTTAATAAGACAGCCGTTTATTTTTCTGTGGAGACTAACAGTCCTGGGGTTAGGATGTAATAATCATTCTTCTGCTTTAAAAATGGTTCTTTAACAAATAGCAGTAGCTCATTGCAATTTTCAGTTGTACAAAATGACATTTTCTATGTTACTATCAAAATATTCTGCATAACATTAATTTCTGTGCACTTATTAACATATGTACAGAAGTGTTTCCCAATAGAAATCAGTATGCTCCTTGCTGATCCTTTTTGCCCTAGATTTACCAAAACTAAACCTGAAATTAATTGTGTTAATAGTATAAAATCTCAGGAGAGATAAAGGATTGAAGGTTTATTTCCCAGCAGCAAGTGAATAAAGGAACTCCTTCAAGTTATAGTCTAGCTGAGACGGAATTTTAACCAACCGCGGTGAATCCAGGCGAGCCAGGAATATCACACATTTTCCCGATGCATTATGTTGAGTACACAGAAGCAGAGGAATGTAAACAGACAGAAGGCACATGAAAGGCCCCAATCCATTCTCCATCTGACGGAAGTGCGAATTTCATAATTCTGTCATCAAGAGTCTTTTCATCATTTTCTCCCTCTCAAGTTCACGCCTCAGAGTCTCAGCGCTGTGTAATTAATGCACAAACAGCCAATTATGGGAACAACAATAAGGCTCAGATTTCAATTTAAAATAATTAACATTTTCAAAATACCAAAGGAGGGGAAGAAAGGTCAGGCTCAATTCAGTGAAAAGGCTGATAACTGAAGGCTGATTCAAAAACAAGTACGGCTTGATATTTCTGAAGAGCAAACAGGAGCACGAAAAAGGACATAAGAAGACCCGCATGGCAAAACAGTTTACGACTTAATCTTGCCCCTGTTAAAGGCTACCGATTTCAAAGGAAGCTGGACTGGGACTCTAAAAATGAAACAGCAACAATAAATGCTGCCACAAAAGACTGGTATCACAGCCTTCTGCTCCTCAGCATGGTTGGATACTGGGGGCCGTCTAGATACTCTGAGTTTACTACAGTCCTGCTTCATGTGCTCACATCAGGGTGTGGGAAGCAGAGCCTGAAGTCCTTGCTCTCACACACCGAATCCCTCCGGAACCTGCGGGCTCTGCAGCACTGGGAATGCCTTGGGTTGGTGATCCCATTTCTTAATAAATAGCACAGGGGGAAAAAAACCCAAACTATTTACTGTGTTGTTCTGAGAGTTAAGTATCTAAGGCTGGTAAAGCAGCCTGGAGATTTGAGCTGCAGTGCAGGAACCTTGCAGCCCGTTCATGGATAAGGAGGGGTGGAATCACCCGCTTGTGCTCGAGACATCCTATGGAAACTGACTTCAGCACTACAGCTTCAGAATTACATTTTCACTGGAACGATAAATTTTTAGATGGGTTAGCAAAGTTGAACAAGTGTGCAGGTGCAATTAAACCAACATCTGCAAAAAATAATTAACAAATGAAATTGGGAATTGACTGTGAATCCAAAAGTAAAAAAGGCTAATTTATTATGATGCCAAAGAAATACTTTTCTCTTCGACATAAGCCTAGGACTTTTTGTGCTCCAGAAGTATTGAGTATATCCACTCCTGCTTTTGTAATCAGTAAATTATCAGCTTGGGAAATTCAGCTTTGATTAAATTCTAGAATAAGAAGGCAGCATGCAAAACTGGTAGGATGGAAGAATAGAAAACTGAAAGCAGGCTGCCTGTGGAAAGATGGGATGGCTTGTTGTTTCTCTGAGGAACTACAAGAAAGACTACTGTAGCTTGACATTACTAAAATAAAAAAAATAAAAAAAAAAGAGGAAAAAGAAAGAAAACCAGTGCCTGTTTTTAATTTAGAAGAGCAGACATTTCTTAACTTCAGCTTATGGACATTTAATTTCAAAAAAACAAATTGCAACAGCAATTATTAAAAGAAAACCTTTGTGGTTCAGACAAAATGACTTGCCTGAGGAAAAAATGCCCAACCTTTCTCTCCAGGCCATTGGCCACAGAAACAGTAGGCTGCTGGCTGCAGCACTTAATTAAGGTAGGGTCTTTTTGTCAGAGCAGATATGAGTTATAGGTATTCCTTTACAATCACCCACCTATTCTGAAGTAGGTGTCCAGCAGCAACTAGAAATCTTTTGGTAGCAGGGGAAACAGCACTTTATGGTGATTATGATAGAAAAAGAGAAATCACGCTGATTCCTTTAATGCAGAGAGCATCATAGTATTTCTGTGAAAGAATTGCACGGTACCTGTCTGCCAGCGAAATTGGTTTATGCGACGTGTATATTGTCTGGACCGTTGGAGTTGGTATGGTCTCTGCCAAAGATCTCAGGACGGGCGATGGAGTTACCGGCGTTATCTTAGGAGATGACTGCACTGCACAGCATTGTAATTTGCTGTCTGTAAATTCTGCCTACAAAAAAATGTATACAGACATAGAAAGGAAAAAAAACAACCATGTAGATTAGCTTCTACTGCTCTTGCTAACTTTCACCATCCAGTTCATTGCCAAACACTCAGTAACAACAGCTAATAACGAGAACAAATGGGAGGCTGTAGCTATAGCTGCTCAGTGCAACCTCTGTGGATGCTGAACAGCCATGGCTGTTCAGATGGCTCTTTCAGAGCTGTGCCCAAGGGACAAGCTTGATGGCAACATGCTCTACGTGAGATGAAACGCCACGTACAGGACTGGCAGCATTCGGGTTCGGGGAGTGCCACTTATCATTATTGCATTTTCCCTAAAAATAATGCAGAACACTGACCACACCAGATTTCTGGACTATTCTTCAGAAATCCTATACAATTTGCTGGTGGGTCCTCTGACTACTTTGTGTTTCGTAACAGCCAGGAGTCCAGGCTTGTAGGAGTCTGGGTTTCAAAGTCTCCATCCTTTTCCCATGTTTGCTATCTGGAACATACCTCGAGAAATATTCTGCAGTATCTAGTGGTAGGCAACGTTAAAGCAATATTGGAAGTGCTGGGTTAAAACAAACAGCAAGCAACCATCTCCTGCCTTTCAGGTGAGGGATATTAGCGCTGCAGTATTACAGCAAAGGCCGGGCCAGCCTATTCAGCTGGAGGGGGAGGATCCCTAAAAATAAAACAGCCCCATCTTGCTTTTTGGCATGGACTATTTCTCATGCCAAACCACAGTGGCCAGTGCCTGTGGTGCATGTACGAGCCTGACCTGGGAAGAGCACAGAGCAACTGCAGTTTGTCAGTGCATCAGGACCATTAGGATATGCTCCTACTGGTATCAGTTGTGTTTCTTTCTTGACAACTTTTTCTTCTGAACTTGATTCAGACTTTGAAGCAGGGAGGAAGAAAAGTCACCATCATCAGGGAGCACATATTTATCCAGCTATTTGAATAGCAAGGTTTTTTTCTTTGTCTAAATTATTTTCAAATGCTGCAAGCCACTTAGGATTAATGCTAAATGCAAACTAATCAGTTTAATCAGTGGGACAATTATTTGAGCCCAGGAAAGAACGGCTGTATTAGGTTTGCTTGCTTATTGTAATTTTTAACGTCTCTGTTCATGTTTCAGCTAGAAGCATCTGATATACTTCAAAACAGCCTTTGAAGCAGAAGGAATTCCATTAATTCCACAAAATCTGTAAAATGGAAAATGTAAAACCATCTAAAGAAACTCTCCCTCCAACTCTGGCCAATTATGTGTGTAAATAATACAACCTCTTCAAACTTCTCTGTCATTCAGCCTTTAAAACTCAACCTTACAAGCTACAGGGATGTCAGATTTGGTGTTCCTCATACAGGACCCCTGCCCTCTGAGGATTTGCCAGATCTTACTTCACAGCATGAGAAGGAGGCACCACGCTGGGAAGCTGATGTAAATTCTCCCAGCCTTACTGAAATCAGCAGAGCAATGACAAATTACACTTGCTGAAGATTTGCCCTGAGTCCTAAAGTGTGTTTGCTCTGGATAATGGTTTTACGGTATATATCCAAAGCATCTTTTTATATATATCTGCTTGCACAGTGTGTTTGAGCCAAATATTTAACTGGGCTAAACAGATGTAATTTCATTAACTTAAGTCTGTGTGACTCATACCAACCTGAGAATATGGTCGTCAAGCCTGTCATTTCTCTATGGGAGTCTCTGAAATTCAGAGGGGTTCCTGGCATTAACCTTATTTTTAAATATTCCAGGCAACCAGGTTCTCAAATATTTCCTCTGATAAAATCAACACGATTGCATATACGCCACCAGATTAGAAGCTCTACACAAAAGCCTTCCAAATGTCATCGTTCATAACTTTTTTCACCTTATTAACATTTCAATGTTTTGTTCCAAGCAAAAAAAAAAAAAAAAGTGAAGGGGAAGCAAGGAAAAGAAAAAACCAAAACAAACAAGGAAAAAGAGTAACAAATGCTACCATCTGGGACTGTGTGTGACTGGGGAACATTCAGAGTTAGATCTGCCTGCAAGTCCTAGCACTGATCTCACCCCTTCCCTTACATCTCCCACTCGTGCCGTAGCGATCCTCAGGCCCTTGCAGAGCCCCTGAAGCAGGATGACCTGGAACGCTGCTGGGGAGAAGCCCAGCTCTTTGGGCTGGGAAGGGGGACCATGAAACACAGGACCAAAAGTGTAATTAACCTTCCTAATTGTTTTCCCATCTTTATGCAGTCCTCTAGGTAGCTGCTGGCTTACCACAGGTAATTTGTACCTAATTCGCTTGAAGGAATGTATGATGGATCTCATACCATTAGATTTTTATCATAATGGTGTTTTAAATATTTGTGATCTGGATTCTGCCCTCCACCCTGCCCAGGGAAATGGAACTCTATGGGGAGAGGAGGGAATTACAGAAGGATTAGTTTGAACTTTACTTTGCTTCTTCTCTCCCGACAGAGCATAACAAAAATCTCAACATTTGCATTTGCCATGAAGCAGCCATTTTCTGCAAGATGGAAATTTCTGTAAGGAAGTATATCAGGGTAACTTCTGTTTATATTTTAAAGTACTATCACCCCAATTATAAAAAAATATTTTATATAGCCCTTCTAAATTTTGCTTTCATCATAACTGTCATAAGCAGAAAAATAATTTTCTGACAATCGTTACTAATTAGTGGGAAAGCTATTCTGAGCTAATCTTTTTGCTTATATAAAGTAGTACTATGAAAGACACAAACACTGTAACTTTAGTTTAGCTTTTACCGCAGTTGTACTATCTGGACTTGGCTGACCTAGTGAAAAGTTGCTGTGACATATTCCCATGTATTTTCGGATACCTTTAATTAGAGCTCAACCGTGGCACTGACACAGCTTGGGGAGCCTAACTAACTCTAGCTTTAAAATACCTATTTGGAAAAAAACAACATTTAGGTCAAATCTCATGATCAGGTTTACTGTGAAAGAAAAGCCTCTTTCTTTAAAAAAAACATTAAGTGCCTACAGTTACTGCACACGGCTCAACAGTGATTGAAGTTACTTCTCTCTGATTATATGCCAGATACAGATTGCTGCTACCAGTAAAAGTTAAGGTTAAGGTCTGAAATGCTTCGTTTTGTGAACGTAATTTGAAAACTGTAAGTCAATTACTGTGGTTTATAATTATAATCAGAGAGTGTTTCTTACAGATCAGAATCAATTCTCACACTGGAAAGGACAGAAAGGGTTATAATCAGTCCCACATGACATATTCAGTCCTCCAAAAATCTTTTAAAGTGCTCTGAATTGCCTGAGGAGATAATTTGGTCATACCTATTACATAATGCCTCTACCCTTAAAATAGGAGTTAGATTGGACTTATTTTTTAAATTGTCAAATAATTGTTTCCTGTTTGTATGTTGTTTACCTTATCAAAAACTCTAAATCCCAACTTCTGTAAAAGTTTAACAAGAAAGAATTAAGTTCAATACTTGATTCAAGTTATTAAGTAAACATGGGAGTTTATACAAGGATACCATTGTAGTCATTAACACGCTAACTGTAATTCTTCCTTAAAATTCAGATGTAAATTCAACGAAAATCAGGCCCCTTTTTGTGATGGCACAGCAGGCAGTTTCGGGTGGGAGGCCATGCAATTGCTAGACAGAGGACTAAGTCTTCCGACTCCCTTATTGCTCTTTGGAAAGATGCTGTGGAGCTTCACAAGTCTCCTCTGCAGTCCTGAACTGTACAACGTTTTGGAACTGACTGCAGTAGCGGTGAGCCTTGACCTTTAACTCTTAGTCCTCTGTCTAGTAAACAGCAATGTCTGAATGCAGGCAAGTTAATTATTTGAATAATGGGAATATTTGATTGATTTGCACTTGGAATTTCTACTTGGAATTTATCTTTTTTTGTTTGTTTTGAGGACTGCTTAGCGCATAAGTTTCCGACACTGTTAAAAAATCAGTTGGAATTGTGTTAAAGACACAGTTTTTTAGTTGCACGTTCTACTTACAGAAAACTGTGGTACTGTTGTAAAAGGATCGAAAAAAGGATTAGATGTATCAGCAGGGAATGTCTTTATCTTTAAAAAAGATAAAGAAAAAGATGTTACTTTCAGAGCATAAAAATGCAAAAGAAAAAAAAAGCAGCAAAGCATTGCAACTACAGTGACATATCCAACAAATTAGAGCAGTTCAGCAGTGCTTGGACCAGACCAAAAAAGACCTCTCCAAAAACGCATACAGAAACCCGATGATGAATAGTCAAAGCATAAATATGAAAACTCGATAGATTAATTTCACCATGTAATTAAATCTGTTGCGCAAATACGGAGCTGATGATTGCATAAAATGTATCTTCCAGTTCTGTCAACAGCCGTTGGATCATTACCTGCTTCCTTCAGCCAGCACTACCTTTTAAAACACGTAATATGAAGTGCAGGAGCAAATTCTGCAGGGCACGAACTTTGGCTAAAGAACTTGTGCTTTACACATTTGAGACTTCCAAATTTTCAGTTACACGGTTGCTGCCAAAGACAAACCATCATGTAAGGCAGGATGGAAAGAGAACTGCCTATAAAAAAAGCACCAGGGACAAGTGTTTGTTTCAGGCAGGTATGAGATCCTGTGTCAAGAGGAGGGCTGGGGATAAGGAATGACCTTAGGAGGGTTTTTTGAAAGGTGCTTGGAGACGGAGAGGTGAGAGACCAACACGTCCATGTGCTGAGAAGCCTGAGAGCTCCCAGGGCTCGGTCCACGAGCATGCGGTCACTGGGGTGACCAGGCCCTGCTGGAAGTCACTTCTGCCCTTAAAATCTTTTCAAACATTAACTGAAATGAAAGAAATATTAAAAGCAGCAACAATCTCTGTACTGCTTCATTGGGAATGCTATTCCCCCTGATTCTCCTCTCTGGAATGCAGACTTACCCATTCATTCAAAGAGAGGACAACATATCAAATACAGGTATCAGATCTGAACTGCACATCAAGCTTTCCATTTGGAAAAATGCATTTTTTCCCTGTAAAGGTGTGTCTTTCACTTTATTATAGAAACTGCTGTGCATTTGTTCGTTATGCGTGTATGCAAGCATAATTCACTAACTACAGCTATATAACTCCTGTTTAATAATGAGGAAAGCTACCCTGAGGGCCCTGGGTCCTTGTAGGCCAAAGCAAAACCTGAAATTATGACATCAAATATAATTAAGTAAATATATAATGTTTATTTTGTAAATAAAATAACAGAAAAACATTGGCTTATAAGGATGCCAAGGGAAATTAACAGCCATCTGTGGGCCCACTTCTGCAAACATGTGGAATTAATCCTGGCATTAATTGTCAGGCTTCTCACACACAAGCAGCATGGATGGCAAAGATATAGTTAAGCATGTAAATACCTTTTTGAGAGAATAGATATGTTTGTAAGCCAGTTACACAGGTGCAAATGAATAAACAACTGCGCGAGGGAGAAATTCTTTTAAATCACAATTTTCTATGCGAACATATCAAAGAAAATTCCACACTCCTTTTATAGTCCTACATTCACGTCTGTTAGCAAAGTGTATGTATGCTTCATTGCTGATTGAACCTGCTCGTTAGATTGAAGCAATCGCTCCTTGCAAGTTTGTTGTGCTACGTCATACCCAGAGCCAAGTCTGTCAACGCAAAACATGGACAGCTGTAGCACGTCTCGCTCTTCTGAGAGACAGCAAATACCCTGGAGCCCAAGCTGTCATTCTCAGGTTATGAAGGGTGTACAATATGATGTAGTACAAAATACAAGTGCACTCCATTACAAATACAGTCTTTGAGCCAAGGGCAAACAGGGGTGGGAAGTTGGTTGCTCATATGCAGGATGAGTTTGATATGCTATAGCCAAAATCTCTCTAATTTTGCAGGTTGGTCTCATTAGGGAAACGAAGCGCAGTTACTGAATATAGAAAAGAAAAATGACGCAGAACAATATTCAAGAACCCACTGGGATTTGGGACCAGAGGTGCGTAAGAGGAGTCAGCCCTGATTGCACGCTGCGGCACACAGCCACGCAGAATGCTCTTGCAAAATCAGGACTGCAATCTGTGGATGTGCCTGAGACCAGCCTACATATCAAACACGGCAAAAAATGGTTAATCGGGCTTAGCTATCAGCACGAGTTCCTCTCTCTCGAGAAGCTGTGCTTATTTAATCTCAGGAATAAGACAATCTCAACAAATGAAAGGCTCTCTAGGTTCTAAACCCACCAATTTCTGGCATTTTAAAGAAACTGAAAAGATAAATTAAGGAACAGACAGAAAAAACCATACTCGTGTTCAATCTAAGAGTGACAAACAGAAATAATCCTGCTCAGTCCTTAGGATTTACTCTTTCTTTCTCTCATCTTTTGCCCTCCTGAGAAGAGACCACTGTTACTGCAATTGCACAGCAGAGTTTATTGGTTTGCCCTGGGGCCTTGACAGAGCACTGCTGCCGGCTGCCACAGGCAAAGCAGAGACAACTTTGTTGTTGTCTTCTCAGCACGGAGGAGAGGTTCTTGTCTATTCATGGCTTGGCTCTTCTGAGTAGGAAGTAGGTACAACATCCTCATCCACACAACGACAGAAAAACTCCATATATTTGAGAACACTCTTCAGAGTCAGGATATGCAGGATGGGGAGACAGTAGTGTGGAAAGCATCATTTAAGCAACTGGTTTATGTGAAACTGCATTTGGAAATTTGAAAGGTCTTTTCACCCAGGAATGTACTTTGGCCTGCCTGTCCTGCATGTCCACCATGGCCAAGCAGTGTGCTGATGACAGCAGCAGCCACCAGCACCTGGGGGGAGGAAGAAAAACCTGCGATTCCCTCCCCACCACACAAGGAAAGCAGCGTCATATGTGAGTCCCTTCCTGACCCTTGTCTTGGGGTGGAATTTATTGCATGGAGTCAAAACTCTCAGAGTAGCTCAGAAAGCAAAACAACTCCCTGACCAGAACAGGAGGCAAAGACCTAAATGTTATGCGTTGCCCACACAGGGCATAGCCTCTCTCCCTGCCTGTGGAGGAAGACATACCATACCTTTGAATGTCTCCTGACTCATGTGGCAGAAGCGGTCCCTAAACTTTTCCTGGGTGCTTTCTTCTCCCTGCTGCAGCCGCATCTGTTGACAGATGCCACCTGGGAACTGGGAAAGGAAGAAGAGCAGAGCCATCTCCACCATCTACCGCAAACCTGTAGTTCCTCCAGCCTCTGGAGACCTTCAGCAGCTTCCAGGTTTCACCCAGGATTGCAAACATGAGGGGAAAAGGGAAAGGAAAAGGAGGCGGGCAGCTCTGTGTGCAGGACAGTCTCATAAAGCTGGATTGTAGTTGCTCAGATCAGCAAAACACGGTAGCTGCTAGCATGTGGATTGCCTACAGACAAGCTGCTGAGCTATTCTACTTTGGTGCAAGACAAAACAAGAGAAACAACAGCTTTGAAGTGTACAACTCGGCACAACTCACGCTCCTGTGGGGGCAGGTGGAGCAGCAATCATTTCCACATTGCAGAGCTGCTCAGATGATCCTGTTCTGGCGCAGTCAGGCTCCTCCACGGGAGCGAAAGGGACTAACTGGTGTCACAGGGGCTACAGGAATATCATGAGCAACAAGAGGTCAGAGCTATGCTCTCAATAACAGCAGAGATGGACTTTTAAGTATAACACTTGATTTCAAGCACACCTGCTCTCTCTGCAGGAGTGAAAACAGTCTTGCAGCCAAAGTCACAACCGTAAAACAGCCTTTAAAGCAGATCCCACCAGTAACTGTCACGCCGTGGGGGCACGGCATGCAAGGGGAGTGAAGGTGTCGTGCGTTCCAGCAGCAGCTCGCACGCTGAGGGCTCGTTTCACAACCTCAGATGCCCCTTGCTTGAAAGGTCAGGGTTCACTACCACAGCAGAACTACTTTGGACAAGTACCTCCTTATCTAGAATATTTAGCTTGGTAAGTTGCGAATTTACTAAGCTTAAAGGAACAGTTGACTCTTAACAAAAAGAAAGAAAAGAAGAAATTAATAATAGAAAAAGGATCAGCACAGTCTCAGTGAAAGTCCAGTGTGGTCAAGTAATCTCTAAGGAGAAAAATCTGAAAACCTGTCAATATAGCAGTCACATTGATTTTCTGGGAAAATTAGTGAAATTTTATTCCTCTGTGGATAGCCTTCTTCTAGGACTCAAAGACTCTTGTTGTGTTATTAGCTGTCCATTGGGGTGACATATTTTGGAGGCATCTTTGCCACAACTGGAAAGAATTAATAGTGCTAATTTTTTGTGATATTTATACTGCAAGGAAGAATGAAGGAGGGTGAAGGACGAAAAGGGACAACAGGACAAGAACCTTCCCCTTTTCGTTGCATTAGTGCAAAGAGTTCTTCTGGACAGAATTTAAAATCTCAATAAAAACAATTGTACTTTCCTGAAACACCTTTTAGATGGGTTACGAGAAAAAAACTGTAGCGTTCTCATAAAAGCAAACAGCAGTGGAGGGAGAGAAAGAAAGAGTATTCCCACCTGAAATGAAAACAGCAGGAGACTTGTGGAAAATGAGTCAGCAGTTGGAATGTGCTAATTGATATAAAATTAGCTATTTTTGGTATCTCTACCAGAGGGGAATACTACAAATGTCCTTGCTGTGACAAAAGTGGTATCACTTTTGGGAGAAGTGGGCTTAATTTGGATATGTTGTCTTACATTTAGGATAGTCAGAATGTTCACTGCCCTGCCACAACTTTCTTTCTTTCTACGAAGGTCCAGTAATTTTTTCTGCTTTTGACACTTCACTCCCATCCCTTCCACCGTGACTGGAGGCCCTTATAACATGCCAGAGAAAATGTGCGATATCAGTGGGTTTGCACTGTCACTTTGTATACTGGCCGGGGGAAAACAAACTTTAGGCCAAACACTTCACTAGATTCCTCTGCATCGCAGCAGAAGCAGAGCTGCTAACACCCAAAGGGGTGTCACAGACATGGCTCTCAGTATACACACGTAGCCAGAGGAATATTATGTAGTGCTTTATTTCCAAATACACTCTATAAGTTGAATACCGTCACATCCTTACAGCACAG